GGTGGTGTTCCCTCACCACTGGGTGGTCTGGGCCCAGCTTTGAGAAACAGTCTTTTTAAGGGACCCAAACCAAAAATACCAAATTAGTTGTTATCTAGTCAGTTCTGACTCGTGACAATCCCATCCGTTTCAGAGTAGAACTGTGCATCATGAGGTTTTCATGGCTGTGGCCTTTGGGAAGCAGATCACTAGTACTTTCTTCCAAGGTGCCTCTGGGCATGTTCAAATTGCCATCCGTTTGGTTAGTAAAGCCAAAGCCAAACCCACTACCATCGAGTTGAGTCTGACTCATAGACCCTACAGGACAGAGTAGAACTGCCCCATAGAGTTTTAAGGCTGTAAATCTTTATGGAAGCAGACTGCTACATCTTTCTCCTGCGGGAGTGGCTGATGGTTTCTAACCGCCAACCTTTTGGTTAGCAGCCAAGTGCTTAACTACTGCACCACCAGGGCACGTTTGGTTAGTGGCCAAGTGCTTGATCGTTTAAGCCACCTCATCCAGGCCTTCCTGATTCCTAATGTGATGCCCTCTGGTGCTGGGAGCAGCCCCCCACTCCCCTAGGTACCGAAGGTTGTGATTAGGCAGTGCCCCTGCCTTGATGGCCCCGGGACTCCCTGCTGATCTCTTGGGCTGTAGCACAGCTTCAGGTAAGGCTTTGGAGGAATTTTCAAAGTGGGTGAGGGCAGGAGTCTGCTCGGGAGCATTCGTTTTTGGGTGAGAAGACCAGGGATACGGATTACATGTTGTGCAGTTTTCTGATTTTTCTCCCTGAAAAGCTGTCAGATCCTGAGGAGGCCACGCCTGAGTGCAGGGCACGTGAATGCTACTGCCACCTCGGACTGGTGCGGTTTCACATGGAAGGTGTACAGCTCCTCAAGCTCCCCATCCCGGGGGCTGCCTCCTCAGATGTCAGGGGAATTTTGGGAGGCTGAAATACTTTCCAGGGAACAGTGTTGCTAGCTATTGACAACTGGCTGGAGAATGGAAATTGGAAGGATTTAGTCCTACTTCTGGGAGCCCTGGTGGTGCAGTGGTTAACAGCTCAGCTGCTAACAAAAAGGTCAGCAGTTGGAATCCACCAGCCTCTCCTCAGAAACCCTGTGGGGCAGTTCTGCTTTGTTCTATAGGGTAGCTGGGAGTCAGAATCGATGGCAGTGGGTTTAGTTTATGGGAATTCTACTCCAAGGAGGCCTGGTAGTGCAGTGGTTAATCTTTCTGCTGCTAACCAAAATGTCAGTGGTTCGAACCCACCAGTGACTCTGTAGGATAAAGATGTGGCAGTCTGCTTCCATAAAGATTTCAGCCTTGGAAACCCTATGGGGCCGTTCTATTCTGTCGTATAGTGCCTCTGTGAGTTGGAATTGACTCAGTGGCAACAGGTGATCCTACTTCAGCTGGGTTCCCCACTCTCCAGTTGCTCCCATCCTCCTTTGCTCCCTGATTTTCCATTTCTCTTTTGCATTGCTGTTTGGAGACTAGGAGAGGCAGCCTGGAATGCTGCCCTGGGGGCTGCAGCTTGTGGTGTTTTAGATGTGAAGACTCTGCCTCTCCAGTCACCGCAAAGGTAAGTCACCAGCACACCAGAGGAACAGCAAAAACAGGAGGGAGATTGTAACTTTTTTTAACTCATGCCTAAAACTAACCAAAACTGACATGTTAAAAAACAGTGTTGAAAGAGCCAGCTGTAGTTTCAGATCCCATCTTAGGCACTGCTCTGACCAGAATATTATAACAGCGGTTGAGAAAGTGCCGCAAGCGATTTGTTTCAGGTGTCCCTCCTTGAGTGACAGTGTGCTCCCCATTCCAAGAGGGGCAATGAGGGCAAGTCCTGAGCCTCACAGAGGAGGACCTTAAACCTTCTTCTTGATCCCCACTAGATGGTTTCTTTCATCACCCAAAATGAAGAAACCAGAGCCAAGAACTTCCCAGGGTCTCACAGCACTTTGGGGCTATGCAGCTGTGTCCCCTCAAATTGGGCTTGGCTGTGTAGACTCTGCTGGCCCCCATGGATTTCCACCAAGTGGCAGATCCGCCCTCCTGGGTACTGGGCTGAGCCTGTTCTTAGGGAGATTACAGGTGAAGAGGCAGAGCCAAGACCCACCTAGAGTGCTGCTCACCTGGCACGTTGCTTGTGCTAAAGTTCACTTCTGCTCACATCCCTTTTCCGTCGGAAACCTTAGCTGGCTCCCCACTGCTGAGCTAAGGCAGTGGTGGTTCAGTGCTAGAATTCGAGTCTTCCACACAGGAGACCCAGGTTGGATTCCTGGCCAGTGCACCTCACACAGTTATCACCTGTCTTGTAGTGGAGGCTTGTGTGTTGTTATGATGCTGAAGAGGTTTCAGAGAAGCTTCCAGACAAAGACGGACTAGGAAGAAAGACCTGGAGATCTGCTTCCAAAATCAACCAATGAAAACCCTGTCGATCACAACAGTCTGATCCACAACCAGTGATGGGGATGGTGCAGGACCAGGCAGTGTTTTATTCCATTGTGCGCAGGGGCCACACAGGGACTCCATCTGAAGTTTTTACCAGTCCTGAAACCTCCTCTGGGTGTTGATTTTGGGATGCACCAGGTTCCCGTGGTGCTGCTGAGTATAAACACTATTCAGGACGCTTCTAAACTCATGACCAATTGTTCTCCCTCCACCCAGACCCATGTACTTGGATGCCTCCTAGACAGCTTCCCCTGTTGACCTATAGGACAGAGTAGAACTGCCCCCATAGAGTTTCCAAGGAGCGCCTGGGGGATTCGAACTGCCGACCTTTTGGTTAGCAACTGTACCTCTTAACCACTATGCCACCAGGGTTTCCCCTCTTGACCCACAAATACTCAAGTTCCTAAATCAAATTTACAATCTTTCCCCTGAAGCTTTCTTCTCCTGCCTTCCCCATCTTAGTTTATGCCTGACCATCATCCTAGACTCTGTCCTGTATTGTATCGCCCACGTCAAATTCTTCCCCCTCCCCTCCTAACCCTCTCTGGATCTGCTCCTCTCTAGCATCCATCCTGCTGCCACCTTAACCCAGGCCCTGCTCATTTCCCCTTTGGACTGTGCAGTAATCTCCTGGCACTCCTTCTTTTCACTCCTCTTTGCCGTCTGTGACTAGACTGATAATTTCTTTTTTCTTTTTTTTAATGACTTTTCTTTAATTGTACTTTAGATGAAGATTTACAGAACAAATAGTTTCTCATTAAACAGTCAGTACATATATTGTTTTATGACATCAGTTAACAACCCCACAACATGTCAACAGTCTCCCTTCTCGACCTTGGAGGACCTTTGTTTTTTTTTGGTGAAAATATACATAGCCAAAGATACACCATTTCAAACATTTCTACATGTACAATTCAGTGACATCGATTACATTCTTCCAGTTATGCGGCTATTCTCATTATCCTTTTCCAAATTATTCCATCACCATTATCTTCAACTCACTGTCCCCTAGGCTTCCCATCAAACCTTTTGAGTTGCTGTTGTCAATTTGATCTCACATAGATAATTTTTTTTTGTACTTTAGATGAAGGTTTACAGAACAAATAGTTTCTCATGAAACAGTACACATATTGCCCTATGACAGTGGTTAATAACCCCACAACATGTCAACACCATCCCTTCTCAACCTTGGGTTCCCTATTGCCAGCTTTCGTGTCCCCTCCTGCCTTCTAGTCCTTGTTCCTGGACTGCTGTGCCTCATTAGTCCCATTTTGTTTTATGGGGCTGTCTAATCTTTGGCTGAACGGTGAACCTCAGGAGTAACTTCACCAGTGAACTAAAAGGGTACCCGGGGGCCATACTCTTGGGGTTTCTCCAGTCTCTGTCAGGCCAGTAAATCTGGTCTTTTTTTGTGAGTTAGAATTTTGTTCTACATCCTTCTCCAGCTCTGTCCAGGACCCTTTATTGTGATCCCAGTCAGAGCAGTCAGTGGTGGTATCTGGGCACCATCTAGCTGTACTGAACTCAGTCTGGTGGAGGCCTTAGTAGCTGTGGTCCATTAGTCCATTGGACTGATCTTTTCCTTGTATCCTGTTCTCTTCATTCTCCCTTGCTCCAGAAGGGGTGAGACCAGTGGAGTATCTTAGATGGCTGCTCACAGGCTTTTAAGACCCCAGACACTACTCACTGAGGTAGAATATAGAACATTGTCTTTATAAACTGTGTTATGCCAATTGAGGTAGATGTTCCCCGAGACCATGGTCCCCACTAGACTGATAATTTCTAAACACGGGACTGATGTCATCTGCCACAATCGTTGGGGTGAAGTACAACCTCCTTAGGGTGGCCCTTCCCACCTCATAGCCCCGCCTAGCTCCACCTACTGCCCTGCCTGGCCATGCAGGCCCAACTGGACTATCCTTCATGCCTTGTGTCCTTTCCTCCCACCTGGAACAGTCTCTGTCTCCATCAGCTGTTTCTCTAGAAAACATGCCTGGTCACTGAGGTGTAGGCCCTTCTTTGTGCATCTGTATCTCTTGGTGAACACCTAAATCATATGATTGGTGACACTGTTTTTTTAATAAGGACAAAGCTGTTCCTTACACTTTTTTTGTGTGTAGTAAAATATATATAACAACATATTTGTCTTTTCAACCACTTTTACATGTACAATTCAGTGACATTAATATGTTCCCCATGTTCTTGCTCATCTTTGAGTCTCCAGCACCCAGCACATTTCCTGGTACACAGTCGGTACTCAATAGATGCTTGATGATAAGTGGTTGAGGTGCTGACAGTCTGGAGTGGCCCTGACTTTTCTGGTTGGGCATATTCTCAGGCACATCCCTGGCAGGGCAGCCCCAGCCCCAGTGGCTGCTCCAGGGACTCTTGCTCCACAGCAGTCTTGTGACCCCAAGAAGGTTGTCGTGGGGCAGGAGCTCTGTCACTCTTGGTGCCAGGACATGTGTCCAGATCTTCAAGCCACCCTCTTTACCCCCCTCAGTCCTCCGCTGCCAATTGCCTTGAAGGGAAGTGGCATGAGGTCCTTGTGCTCCTTTTCCAGGTGTATCCAGGGAGGCAGGGCCATGCTCACGTTCATGGCTTCTGACAGTGAGGAGGAAGTGTGTGATGAGAGGACCTCCCTGATGTCGGCTGAGAGCCCCACACCGCGCGCCCGCCAGGAGGGCAGGCAGGGCCTGGAGGATGGAGAGAACACCACTCAGTGGGTAGGTGCCCACTGGCAAGCTGAGGCTGAGACTTGCCTCCAGGGTTCCTGGATGTAGCAGGGAGGGGGAAGTGAAGGTGAGAATTGGGCAAAATGGTGACAGTCTCCCTGATGGATCTGTAGTGACATTTTGCATCTGTGAGGGCTTTACTGTGGACTCTGAAGTCCCAGTCTGTTTAAGATTAGCTTTGGAATGTGTTCAATGATTCTCAGTGCCACAACCCCAAACCCCATAGGTACAGGTTATACAGTCACATGGAAGTGAGTTTGGATATCTGGATGCTAGAACAGGTTAGCACAACTTCTAAAGGAAAACTGCTGAAGGGAAACATTATTTGGTAGACGGTCAGACACAGTAACTAAGAGATGAGTATACTTAATTTATGTTTGAGGGTAGTGGTAGTACAGTGATAGAATTCTCACCTTCTATGCAGGATACCTGGATTCGATTGATTCCTGGCCAGTGCACCTCATGTGCAGCCCCCACCTGTCAGTGGAGGCTTGTGTGTTGGTATGATACTGTAATAATGCAAAAAAGAAAAAGAAAAAAAAATATCAATACTCTGTTAAAAGTAAAACCCAAAAGTTTATTGAGGGAATAGGAGTACAGTTTAAGGAGGCACAAAGAGAAAGCAATTCACTGAGTGCTCCAAAAAGCAGTCTAGCGATGGGTTTAAAAAGGTAAAGACCACAAAGAGAGGTACAGCTAAAATATTTCTGATTGGCTGACATCTGAGTTAGAACAAAGCTGTGAAAAATACAAGTGGGTTAGAAAAACATTTTTCGAGGGGCATCTTCTGAGAATCGGCTTAACCACTAAAGTCACATGCTTAACACTTGTGCAAGCTAAGTGATTTATATTGCAGTCTTGCCCTAGTCAGCAACGCTTGACCTAGTTAGCAAACTTTCTGAGAATTGCTAAGCAGAAGCAACTTCTGAGAAGCTGGCAAAATGGAGTCAGGCCTGCATTTCAGCCAGAAGTCTCAGCCAAGCCAAGCGCCTTGAATTTTAGAATGCTTTGTCATTCCCCCCTTTCGATCAAGAATTGCAATAGAAATTTGCTAATCATTATTATAACAGTGCCTTCTTCTCTATGGACTTATTTTTCTCGAGTTGGTTAGATGGCCACCTATTTAGAATAGGCTTTTAAGACCACAGATGCTATTCCCAAAAGGGTAGCCAGGCACCATCTGTTTATTGGTGGGTGCTTACCTTGATAAGCTTTTAAGACCCTAGATGCTATCAGGTGGATAGCCAGTCACCACCACTGACATCTTCACCATGCCGTACTTTGGGCCTCTACTTCTGTGATCTTTCAAGGTGATGACGTGTAGAGCCAGGCCAAATTGGAAGAGACGACTTCACAAGGCAAGAGGGCCCTTAGCTAAAATGTAAGGTCTAACTCTTCTGAACATGATGTTTTTTCAAAGTACATAATGCGTTGTATAGTAAGGGGAGTAGTAGATTGAACACAAAGGTTTGACATACATTTTATAAAACATTTGATTATACAGACAGTTAGTACCGTAGCAATTAGCAAAATCAAACCTACTTGCAGCATGGAGTGAAATCAAGATTTTATATTGTTGGGTAACCAATTGAAAATGTCAAAGAAGTCAAAAAATAATAAGTCCAGGATTAATAAGCAACCAGACAAATTTTTGTCTAATTTTTTTTATGCCTTGTTCTCCTTTTCCAGTGGTACTTATCCAGGCACAACAAGCGGTGATAGCAATGCCATAGACTTCTCCTTTTTGTGCCAGAAGAAAGTCAGGAGCTATTCTGTTGTCCAAGACTACTTTAACTAAAGATGTTAGGGATTCTTGTGCTGCAATGTCATTAGCCCTCTGTTCCATAGTGGATGACATGTTTCGCACAGTCCTTTCTAATTGGGCTACTCCGACAAAGGGGAAGAGTGATCTAAGAAATGTATATCCCATGCTAGGGTATTTGGCTATAGGATTGTATAGCCATAAGTATCTTTGACTTCTTTGTGATGTCTGACTAGGCTATTTAAGTTGTTAGTTCAATGTTTACTTTCATTGTAGTAGTGAATGTCTAAGGGACTCCTAGGCTTAAATAGCCTGTGGTGCATTGTCCTTGTAGGTTCCAGCCATCAAGGCAGGGTAAGGCCCAGGCATAAGATTTATCTTTTGGTTTTAAATGTGTTTTGGTTAGATAATCAGAACCTCTACATAAGAAAACATAACTGTAAGGTGCGTAAGTTATATTGTTCCTGGTCCAGCTGTTTGGGGCAGGAACGATATTGTTGGTATTGGCAAGCCAATATTTTGTTAAAGAGTTATTGCAAATAAAGAGTTTGCTTAATTTTATGAGTTAAAAATTTTTTGGCATAAGGAAATCAAATGTCTATCAGTTGTATTTCTTTTTAGACAACCTGGTATCAAGTTAACTATTGACTTTTAAAAAAGCCTGGGGGCCTTTACATATGTAAGGGTTAGAAGCTCACCTGTGCAGATCATTAGGAGGTGGTGAAGACTGGACGATTTTCTCATTTTTGCAATCTTAGAGCAGTTACAGTTCTGAGTGATTACATTGGTTAGATTAAAGCAGGTCACCCAAGGCCAGGCTGGGAGAGCAGTGGCTGCCACAACCCGACACGTATAGCTCGTGTAATGGCGACACTACAGTTGATAGTAGCGTCAGGTACGAGGCTGTAATCTAGGATAGGCACCGCCAGGGGATCAGAATATTCAAGCCCTGACTTTGGGGTTTGTTGGCACATCCAGCAATCAGTTAGGTTACCAGCATTAGCCACTGATTGGACTAGCTTAACAAAATCATTTTCTTTCCATGTGTTGATAGAAACCACTGAAAGCAGTAAAATAAAACTTAAGAAAGACTTAAAAATGTAAATATGCTAGTTAAAGTCAGTTATCAAAAATAATAACTGGGATAAAACATTTGCAGGGGAAAATTAAAATGTTAAAGGATAATACTAACAAGATGTAATAAGACAATTTAAAAAAGAATGGCTATAAATACGAAGCAAATGGCAAAAATATCAATTGTCTGCATAGGAAGTTCTTACCAGTAAATAAATCCGAGCTTATAAAATAAAACATCTCAAAACCAATGAGCATTAAGCAAAGTCCAGTAAGTTTCAAAAGCTTGCATTAAGCAGGGTCTGAAACAGGCCTGGTCCTGAGATCTTGGGAGGAGCTGTCTGCATCAGGTGTTGTCTGCTTCTGATTTCTGTAGTGTTTGAGTTGCAGCTGAAGTCTTTTTGTAGGTTGACCAGTCCGGGTAGGAGTTTTAGCCTTTTTTTAGTTGAGACAGGTGGAACCAAGTCTTAATTCTCTGTAATTTAGTGGTACAAGGGTTAGTGAGAAGGACCAAATATGGTCCCTTCCAGCGACACTCAAATAAATCCTTTAATTGATGCCTCTTCTAATATACATAGTCAGCTGGTTGAGTAGTAAGTAGTCTAGATAATCCCAAGTTTTGTTTATTAAAGGCTTCCTTGACTTGTGACAGGTACTCTTTAGAGTACTGCATTAAGGATTGGCAATATTTTAGTAGTTCAGGCTGACTCAAATTAGAATCAGAATAAGTTGAAAAATAAGAGTTGGCTGTAGGTCTTCCAGTAACAATTTCATATGGAGTTAATTTATGGGGTCCAAATGGGGTAGTTCTCAAACTCAGAAGGACTAGAGGAAGTACTTTAGTCCAAGACAAGCTTAAGGTTTCACATAGTTTGGCTAGTTGGGTTTTTATTATGCCATTAGTTCTTTCCGCCAGACCAAAGGATGGTAAGGACAATGTAACTTCTGGTAAATAGGAAAGATTTTACATATTTCCTTAGCAAACTTTCTGAGAATTGCAAAGCAGAAGCAACTTCTGAGAAACTGACAGAACGGAGTCAGGCCTACATTTCAGCCAAAAGCCTGAGCCAAGTCAAGTGCCTTGAATTTTAGAATGCTCTGTAGCAATGCTGAACAGCTTTCACTGGAACTTCCAGACTAAGATGGACTAGGAGTAAAGGTCTGACAGTCTACTTCTGAAAAGTCACTCAGTGAAAAGCCTATGGAGCTCAACGGTCCAGTCCCGTTGTACTTGGGGTTGCCACGAGTCAAAGGCTTACCCGCCGGCACCTAACAACAGCAGCAACAATTTGTGTTTGGTTTTTGAGCTGGGAATGGATGGGCTATACTGTGACTTATCTGTGCCACCCACAGGGCAGGAGATTATAATACAAAGATGAGAGTGGTAGGAGATTATAATATGAAGATGAGACATACTTGGGAGTGTCCCTTAGCCATGCCATCTCCCTTCCCTGTGAGGGCAAAATAGCATCTAAATTTGCCGGAACTCCATTCTCTGTTTTGCCCATTATAGTATCTTAAAACTTTGCCAAGTGGAATTTTTTCTTCCAGCCAGCCTAATCCTCTTTGCGGAAATTTGAGCCCATTTCTTAATTTATTCTGGAACTTGTGTGCATTTTTGTTTGTTTTAGTTCCTATTCATTAACAGTTTTCCTTTCACTTCTAAACTGAGTATTTAGAATGTTGTCTGCAAAGAACTGATACTGAAACATTTCTGATTTTTGTGTTGTTTGGCTTTTTCTTTGCCTGTTAATCTAATTAGCAACACAGCTGATGACCCTGAATTTCTAAAACAAAATCTTGCAGATCATTTTGTGCCCGAGCCTAGAAGACTTCCTGCACCTCATTTATACTCTCCTACCTTCCCATAATAAGGTCCCTGGTGGCTAAAACAGTTTGCGCTTGACTGCTAACCTAAAAAGGTTGGCAGTTTGGACCCACCCAGCGGCACCACGGAAGAAAGGCCTGGTGATCTACGTCCGTAAAGACGAAAAGATTACAGCCAAGAAAACCCTATGGAGCAAGCAGTTCTACTTTGTAACCGGTGGGGTTGCCATGAGTTAGAATCAACTCAGTGGCAGTGGGCTTGAGTTTTTGGTACCTTCCCATACCCCTTGTCCTCCTAGATGCTGGACACCCATTTAGCCTCTCTAGAGTTAGAAGATTTGTATGCTTGATTTTATGGGGCAAAAAGTTGAAAGTAATTTTTTTCCTCTGCAAATTTCCAATGTCTGATTCATAATCAGAGTCCCCATGCGTGCTGATGATTCTAGTTTATAATTTATCAACCATAAATGTTTAATCTCTCTTTCCTTCCAACCACCTGGCCTGTGTCCTCCCGAATCAGTAGGGCCAGGTAAACAGAATTGAACGGTGTCCAGAGCAGCTTATACTTGGGAAGAATCTTTTGATCTATTCGCTCCTCTGGTCTTGGGCCTGCAGACTGCCGTCTTCTGTGGCTACAGTGGCCTCCCCTCCTGGGTGGTGGTGCTTAATGCCAACTCAAACTCTTTCTGCTGTTGTCCTCGGCAACCTTTGAAATGTCCCAGAAATTCCAGCACCCCATGTCCAAACTACAGCTCATAGACTGGTTCTTGCATCTTGAAAGCCACATTAAAACTTCTTGTTTGGGGTTCTAAAAATCCATGCACTGTATCGGTTTAGGGGGATATCCCATGTGGGGCATCCCATGAAGAGCTTCCTGTGACCCTCACAATGTGGTTTTCCACAGAGAAGCCAGGAGAGCGAGGAGGACTGTGAGGAGGACCCTGACCGCTACGTTTGCAGTGGGGTGCCTGGACGGCTCCGAGGCCTGGAGGAAGAGCTGACCCTCAAATACGGGGCGAAGCACGTGATCATGCTGTTTGTGCCTGTCACGCTGTGCATGGTCGTGGTGGTCGCCACCATCAAGTCTGTGCGCTTCTACACGGAGAAGAATGGACAGCTGTGAGTTGGGGCGGGGTGGGGCGTGGGGTGGGTTCAGGGGTATGTGTGACCTCTGTTGACCACCTGTAGCCCCCACACCAGGGGCTGCCTGAGTTCATGCCCTGGTCCACCTGCCTGGGCATGGTCCTCAACTTCTCTATGCCTCAATTTGCAGGTCTGTGTAATGGGCTTAATCATGGGGTTACTGGGAAAATTCAGTGAGCAAGCATGTGTAAAGGGCTTAGAACAGTGCCTGCCCCAGAAGGAGCTCTCGGGCACAATGGTATTTATTACAGAAGGCAAGCCCTCTCTCACGCGCAGCACCAAGCCCAGCATCCAAAGGTTGGGCTTCCGTCACGAGTGGGCCACCAGTCACTGTGTGACCCCAAGCAAGCCACTTCCTCTCTGAGCCTCTGCTGCTTGAATGTAAAAGGAGATGGTTGGACCAGATGATTCCGTAGCTCGCTTCCAGCCTTGTGAAGGAGATGGATAGAGCCCTGTGTTTATTTCAGTAAAAATAGCACATACACAGAGCAGCCTAGACAAATGGAAAGCCTCCTGCACCCCATCCCACTGCTCCAGGGTCACCACTGCTGAGGGCTGACCTTCCCTGAGCATCTTCTGTTAACTGAGGAGTTCTTGTTTAGTTTTCGTTTTGTTTGTTTGGTTTTTTCCAAAAAAAGGAGTAGAGAGAGAAGCCGCCCCCCCCAGCCCCCCGGGAAGTTTATAGTCTGTTGGGGATTCAGAGCAGCCCAGTTGAAAAGCGATAAGAGAACGTAGCCAGCCTTTTGCTTCCAGCAGTCCGTGTTGGAAAGAGTGAGGTATCAATCAATTGCGTCTTGTTTCTGATTTTTAGTTTATTAGTAGCAAGTGCAGTGACTAGGTTGCTCGGGGTGGGGGTAGGGTGGGGAGGCAGGAGGGGAAGAGGAGTGCTAGCCTGGGTGGGCTGATGGAGAAGGTTTAGGTGTGGAAGTGCTGGGGGAAATGGAGAAGTAGGGGGGGACAGAGAGTAGCACCCAGGGGAGACTCCAGCAAAGGTTTTAGAATCTGAGTGGGGGTGGGGAGGGGGTGGGCGAGGCAGGAGCGACTCTGAGCTCCAGTTGCCATCGAATCCACTCCAACTCATGGAGTCCCTGAGTGGTGCGAATGGGTAATGGTCTTGCTGCTGACTGAAAGTTTGGAGATTCGGGTCTACTCAGAAGCACCTCAGAATAAAGTCCTGGCAGTCTACTTGCAAAAACTCAGCCATTGAAAACCCTGTAGAGCACAGTTCTACTCTGACACACATGGGGTCACTGTGAGTTGGAGTTGACTTGACAGCAGCTGGTTACTGGTTACCCTGGGCTCAGTCATCAGGCCGAGAGCCACAGGTACGCAGTCGGGATGATGGGAAACAGGTTGGGAGACAAGGAGTTAGTGGGCAGCACTCTGCCAGGGCAGAGGCATGGGCCCAGTGGCATGAGCAGTGGGGTGTTCCCAGAGGGCCTCTACAAGCAGGGATGAGGATTGCATGGGGGTGGGGTGTGCATGGCAGGCAGGACCAGAGACCATCCACCCTTTCCTTTCCCCTCAGCATCTACACGCCCTTCACCGAGGACACGCCCTCAGTGGGCCAGCGCCTGCTCAACTCTGTGCTCAACACCCTCATCATGATCAGCGTCATCGTGGTCATGACCATCTTCCTGGTTGTGCTCTACAAGTACCGCTGCTACAAGGTGAGGACCCAGACGCACCTGCCCTCTGCCCACCCTCCAGTCCACACACACCTCTGTCTAGTGGGTCCCTTCTGCAGCCACCCTTCTTTTTTTTTTTTTTTTTTAAAAACTATCGGAGTTCCTTTTTTCTGCAAAAAAAAAAAAAAACACAGCTACCATGAAGCCGACTCCAACTCATGAAGGTCTCGTGTGTCAGAGTAGGGTTTCCAATGGCTGATTTTTTGGAAGTACATCACTGGGTCTTTCTTCCAAGGCGCCTCTGGGTGGACTTGAACCTCCAACCTTTCACACGTCAACCATTTACACCTCGCAGGAACTCCTGCAAAATAGACTCTGAGTTTGTCCCACCCCACCCCCACCCTAGATGACCCAATTCTGTTGTCTTTTAAGTTGACATATAATCCACTCAATTGAGTTCCTCATTGCAATGTTCAGAGTGTCACTTCTCCTATTCAGAAGTTAATTTTATTTTGCTTCTCCTTCCCAAGGAGTAAGAAGTTGTATATTAGGCTCCCTTCACCCTGACGCTTCCCCTCCAGATTTATTTTTATTTTCCATTTCCCTTTTGGACAGAGAAAGACAGATTCTGTGCCGAGGTCTTCCTGCCTGGGAGGAGTTGGGGAGCGATGGAGGTGCTGAGTCCCACCTGGCCTGAATCACGTGCATTTTCTGCCCTCGAAAGATACCATAGGACTTTAGACGTTGCTTTCCAGTCTTTACATCCAAGGAAGGCTTTGAAACCCTAAAGATTAAAAGAAAGTTAAGCTAGGCATTAAATCAGTTGGTGTCGAGTCAACTCTGACACCCCATGGGTGTCCGAGAGTAGAACTGTGCTCCACAGGATTTTCAGTGGCTGATTTTTCGCAAGTAGATTGCCAGGCCTTTCTCCCGAGACACCTCTGGGTAGGCTCAAATCTCCAACCTTTCAGTTAGCAGCTGAGTGTGTTCACCAAGTGCAGTACCCAGGAACTCCTGAGCTAGGCCTTACCTAATTTGAAGCTGTTTAAATGCAGGCACAGTCAGCCCTTCTTAGGCAGCAGTCACCATTCATTGAGCAGGTAGAGAAACAGGAGCACTTAGTGTAGGGGAGATGCAGGGGTTGTGGTGCAGTGATGGAGCCAGGGGTGCTGCTGGGTGAGACGTGGGAGGGGCTGTTGGGAAATATCCCTGAGCTGCAGCTTATCAATGAATAACAAATGTAAATGAGGGAGAACTTAAAATTAGAGTTGAGGAAAGGATAGGATAGTGGGAAGCAGGGTAGAAGGATGCTTATTTGGAGCAGAAGGTACAGCGTGCCTAAGAACAAGTGAGAAATAGCATGGATGTTGAGAATAGGTGCCACTGTGGTCAGGGGGTGTCTGGGAGACTGTTGAGAAGCAGCCCAGCCATGCCTTCAGTGAGATGCATTGAGCCTGCCTTTGCCAGGCCCCATTCTGGGGTCCAGCAGCAAGCAAGACAGGCAGGTGCCCTCTCAGCTGGAGGTTCTGTGACTTTCAGGCAGGAGCTGATGGTGACCGGGCAGGCAGGTGGTGTTGGGACGGAGGGGCAGCACACTCCAGAGGCAGCCTTTCCCCTTCCAGCTGTGCTCCCAGCCAGGCCTTGGCCACTGCTGTCATGATGAGCAGACCAGGTCCCCGGCTGAGGTCTCTGGTGGACTGAGCTCATGATGGACGGGCCTGTCCTCAGGGGTGAGGCTGGTGGGAGTGGCGCCACCATTCTACTGACAGCTGGCGGAGGGACTGATGTAGGATCAGCCCCACCCTCGTCCTTGTCCATCCCTGGATTGGCCAGGAGAGGGGCATCATGTCTTTCTGAGGACTTGTTTGTAGAGCCTCAGCTGGGAGGGGACTCCCTGGGTTGTTTCTCTTCAAAAATATCCCCTTTACCACAATAATAGTAGGAGACTTCAACACACCACTCTCAGTAAAGGACAGAACAACTAAGAAGAAACTCAGCAAAGATACAGAAGACCTAAAGGGCACAAT